TATACTCAATTTCATGGGATGAATAAATTAATCAATTCATCTGCCAGTCAATAAATAAATCCAGAATTTTTCTAGAACATCAGGGTCTCTGAGGATTTTAGGAGAAGTGAAGAGATTTTATTCAATTAGATATAGAGGGCATTGAAAGCAGAGTAAGCTTAAATTATTTCCAAGTTCAAATACGTAAGTCCAAATATATGTATTTAGCATCTACAACGCAGTACGTATTCTGGTCTTATCCTTGAGAAACTTATCACTAATTAGGAAAACACGACATGTTCAAGAAAGTTGATTAAGTGTCGGTGAAACAGTACAGAGTTAAAAAGATCACAGAAATGTGTGCAGGATGGAAAAAGAAGTATTGGAGTTTGAACTTGAAAATTAAATACAGTTAGATAAAATAAGAAAATAAAAGGGTATATTCTATGTGGAGGAAAAACAAGAGTTGGAAATGAGAAGAATGTAAAAGTAATATGAGCAAAATTCTAGACATAAAGTCACAATTTCTGTGAGAAGAACAGATTGATGGTTTTGAAGTAGAAGTTGGGTGCTGGGGAGCTGGGTTCAGACATAATCATAAAATTATTATTACAAAATAATACAAAATATGGAACCTGGATTACAGGGCCAAATTTGGACTTTTTTCTTGGTGTCATTTCTAAAAGCGTGTCAGTGGGTGTTGAGTGAGGGAAGGGGATAATTTTCTTAGGTACATTTAGAAATTGTGCGATGAAACTCAACTAGATAAGATTGCCTCCTGCAAAATTTCTCACGAGGGTTTAGTTCCAGGAAACTAAGAAGGGGCCATGGTATGCATTTCTCAAACATTTTCCCACATTTACCATTCTTTCTGTGACCATCTTTTTGGATTGCTATCTCTCCTCTAGACACACACCATGTTGGGAACCAGTGGTTTTGACAGTAAAGAATCAGAGCAATAAGGCTGAAAAATGACATGGTGAAAGTACTGATTTTAAGAAAATAATATGGTGGTAGGGGGTAGGAGAGACTAACGGCCCCTTTAATAAGGGAGCTGGGAAGATAAATTGTAATGACACACAAATAGTGGAGATGGGTAGTTCTATTTTAAGAAAGTGGTAGAGTTCATCTTCACTTCCAATTGCTGCTTAGAGGTGAACTACAGAGCAAAACAAGGGCTGAAGATAAAGACTTGCATGTAATCTGTACACAGGTGAGAGCTCAATCTGTTACATTGAATTCCCAGAAAGAGACTAAAAAGTAGAGGATTTATATTATTGAAACACGCACATGTGGATGTTGGAGGAGGCAAAAAAATACTTGAGGAGAAAAGGAGACTTTTAAGAAGAAATCAAGATAGTTTAGTTAAAACAATTTGAATAAATATCTTATTGTGAAAAGCTCATTGTTGTTGATTGCAAATTAACTGGAAAGTTCTGCAAATTAAGTTTTATTACAATATGAGAGTGAAAGTGTACATTTGTGGATGTGTGATAATTGAAAAGCAAAAAAATGAAATTGATCGGGCAGAGCCTCCATGCAGAGGAGAGGGAAACATTGACCCTACAAGAGGGCTAGGGTACTACTGGGGACTAAGAATCATGGATCAGGTGGAATCCTGGATATACCTGAATCAAGCAATTATATTCTTGCTCAGAGACTTGTGAAAATAGTGAGAGAGATTATTAAGAGACAGAAAAACTGAAAAGGTTTTTCCCATAGCCTGTTTCCAAGGGTGCCATCTTCTCAGTAACATGGTATCTTACAGAAACAATGACCTCTCATTTTGAGAAATAGGCTAGAGAATCAAAAGCTATCAAACACAGTTGCCAAGAAGTAAATGTGGCCCGTTTAGGGTTAGAGAGTGTATTCATCTTCTCTTCCTGCATAACAAATTACTATACATTTAGCATCTCAAGGCAACATCCACTTATTACTCATCATTCCACAGATGAGGAGTGTGGGTGGGCTCACTGATCAGGGACTGACGAAGCTGAAAGCAGGTTGTCAGCCTACATTGACTCAGTTTGGGAGCTCTGAGGAAGAATCTGCTTCTAAGCTCATTTAGGTTATTGAGAGAACTCTGCGGTAGGAATGAAGACCTCAGTTCCTTGCTGGCTGCAATGCAGGTCACTCTCAGCTCTGAGAGGCCACTGGGGGTCCAGTTCCTTGCCGCAAGACCTTGATAGGCCCTATCACATCATCCAAGCTCACACACTCGAGGCCAGCAGCATAGTCCCCTGCGAGCAAGCTCCTCCCCCTTGCATCTCATGCTTGGACTGGCTTTAACTTCTGGTGATAGAGAAAACTCTCTACTTAGAAGAAAATCAAGTGATTTTATTAGTTCCAACCAGATCGTCTTCCTTTTGGTAAACTCAAAATCAACTGATAAATGGCATCAGTAACACTGCAAAATTTTTTCTGCCATGTGAGATAGTAGGCATGACTGACGTCATATTCACAGCCCCAGGGGATAGGGTGGGAAATCTTGGTGTCCATTTTACTGTTCTCCTTAGCACAGATCACTTAAATTAACATACAGTTTTGTGTAGTTTTATTTCTTAAAAATTTGAGTTAATGTGCCTCAGATGTTTTCTAGAATGTCACTGAAGTGATAGAGAAGAAAAATGGAAAAAACAGAATAAATGTTTTTAAAAATTATATTTATAATAATTATAAATACAAATTATAAATTATATAATTATAAATACTATAAATTATATTTAAAGTACTTATATATAATTATAAGTAAATGAATAATATATAATTAACATATATAATTATAAATAACTATATTCTAAATAAATGAATAGTTCTCTGATAATAGATCCAATCACTTTCAACCAAAACCAATTTCTTAAAATAGCAAGTTTTGTTTTAAACATCAACTATCTTTCTGTTTGTGTTTTTGAGTTCATTTACTGCATTGGGTCCTCATGGTATGTATATTATTGGTGGTGGTCATGAGATTCTATTTGTGTTCTGGCTAAGATCCCCGTAAAATATTGGAAGAATTCTTAGGGAAGTAAATGGGCAATAAAGTTGATATGGGAAATGTTGGAAAAGAACGTTAGGGTAAAAGGAAAGCAGCCAATCACCAGAGAGTTTGGCTTTTGTTGAACTTGTCTGATAATACTTTGAAAAATTATAATGTAAGTGATTTAATTGGATTCTTTCTCAAATAATTATTTCATCAATTAATGTGTTCTGGATATTTAAACAATATTGTAATAGAATATATAATATAATAGATAATCAAAATGTATTAATGTTTAATGTGCTGGCACGTTAAATATTTGCAGAGTACCTTCCATGTTTTTCTCACAATATGAGCAATGGTCCACATATATTATTGTCCCTATTATAGATTTGAGGAAACTGATTTATTCAGTAACTTAATTCCCCCACGTCTCATGGTTGGTATATGTCAGAATCCAGGATTCACATCGAAGTTTGTTGGACCTCAGAATTCAAGCCCTTTATGATTATACTAAATAGCTAATAAATGAGATATTTCACAATAACATAAATGGTATTACCTTAGTTATCATTTATTATTATTTATCATTTATATAATGGTATAAGGTAATGCCATTCATCCTTTCCTTTTTAGATTTGCCTTTTTACGTGGTTGGTTTCCTATCTGTTTCTTCATTGCTGTATTTACTCTCTCTTCCCTTTGCAGGAAGTAGCACACACATCAATATATTAAAAACAGTAGAAAAGTTTTGTTTAATATTTGCTAAGTTCACTTGATCTTGAAAGAATCTTTCTTTTTAAGACCACCTATTGAATTTTTTTGCAAAATGCTGATAAAAATAGGAATTTAAAGGTTACTGTCAAGTTGTTTTAGTATTTTTGTTAGAAACTAGTATTTCAGAATTGGTAACCTAAAAGTTTATGAATTTCAGAGTCCAGTTGCTTAATCTAAGTGTTCCTTAAATGATAAACATATTCATGTTAGATACACTGAGGTTATTTCATTCTCTTCTTCAGTATAAAATACTGTCTTTGGGTTGTATATTTAATTACTGTCTGCTGATTGATACTATGATTTGGAAAGTCACAGAAGTAACAACCGTAAGTCTTTCATAAAGCCCCGTGAAAATTTAAATGGCCACTAAGTGGTCAGCAGAGGTACATTTAGTTCATAATAGAGCACTACCCTCTAGTGCTCACGCTTGGCCATGTGCTCTCCAAAACCACCTTAGAGAGGTTAATGTCACATACTGCATGGGACGACCTTAATCAGGCTTAGTTTTAAGGGAAATATTCTATTATTTATAACATCACCATTTTGAAAAGACATTCAGAAATTTCCAATGTTGTTCAAAAGTATTACTGGAACTCCTGTGCTACAGGGGAAAATGGCTATTCCATCTCTTTTGCTCATAAAAATAAATGAAATGCTTGAGAGTCAAGAACTGAGGTGTCATTAAATTTCTTAAATGATCTTAAATGATGTCGGACCTAAGTCTTTTGTCCCAAGGTTCAGTACGTGCCGTCTGCATTGGACAGTGTATTGATTCTAAGAAAGTTTAAATGAGACTATACACATATATATCTAAAATTCTGGATTTCCTTAGACAGAATTATTTTCTGGAAAAATAGTACTTCTTCAGAAATATGGAGTGTGGGTTTACAAAACAGCACATTATCAGCCAATATACTACAAAGGGAGCACTGAAATTTGATTTACCATGCTTAACCATTATTTATTCCGAAACATAGGATCCGCTAGCCAAACTACTCATAGGCAAAGAAGGTCTAATTTTAGTTGCTTCCCAAAGCATTATCCAAACTATTGCCATGGAGCAGCTCTTTATGTGTGTAGACTTTGCCCATTATTTATTAGTATTTCAGTTGTTTCAGTTTTTCTTGAAGACTTGATTTGGTAAGGTGTCTGCACCGAAAGAGTGGATCTATGTAAGAAAATAATAAGTTCTACATAAGCTTTCTGAATAGAATTCTTAGGTTATTCCAATTTGCTATTAATAAATGGCTTTTTAATGTACCTTTAGTTGTTACAGGGTAGATCACCCAAACCTGACAAGTGGGAGCTTCTTCAGCTGGGCAGTGGAGGAGGCATGGTTGAACAAGTCAGTGGGGACTGTGATGATGAAGATGGCTGTGGGGGATCAGGAAGTGGAGAAGTCAAGAGAACGCTGAAGATCACAGACTGTAAGTGTATGATTCTAATGCTACTTTTTGTTTTTTTTTAAAAATTGATTTTGAAATGTAATTAAACATATTGGTATGGATGTAAAGAAATAATGACGATGAATTCAAACACAAGCAAGAGGAATCGGATATGACAATGAATCTATTTTTATTCTGTGACACACATTCTTGGTGGTTTTATTTTTAACGAGTGACTTCTAATGAAATGATAGTTTTCTGTCAAAACTAGTGAACGGTCACTAGTTCTGAGAAGGTTTTAAAGTGGAATAACTCTTGAGGCATAATGGGTATTAATTGTATATTGATACGTGACATGAAACCAGGATGGGTAAGTACTACTTAATAATCAAATTGTGCAATTAAAAAATTATGTCATTATATAAGAAATTATTTTCTTATGCTTTTATCATAGTCAAATTGCATAGAAATTGGTATATGGTTATTGATGGTAAAAACTAGTTGGATTTAATGCTTATGAATTTTCCCTTCCAAAAAAAATCTCACTAAACATTTATTTCACTTTGATTGTATGGATTCGAAACTACTTCTGGTATTTCTGGACTCATTGCTACTATAAAGGATAGAATTTTTAAATAACAAAAATTTTCCAAATGGATTTCCTTTCCTGATTATTGCATACAAGATGAGGAATATGGGTTTCCATGCTCTGTTGTTATATTCATGCATTTGTTCATATGGGCAAACAACCAAAGTAATCAACTGAGAAATAATGTAAATGTTAATGTACGTAGAGTAGCTAGTTTCAACTATTCATTTAGTCTTGATTACACCAAAGGTGGGGTCACCTTCTGGAAAGGTGCAGTCCCACGTGGAGGTTGGTCTGATAGCTTCCCTCGCAGTCACACAGAGCTGCTTTGCACCTATTGTAAGACATGCCTTTTGTTGGGAGAATAATTCATTTAATTTATGATTCTATTATTGTGAAATACAAGCAGTACAAATGCTTCCAAAATCAATTCCTCATTCCTTATAAGATCTGGTTTTACAAGCCAAATATTTTGGTTTCAAAGATGGAAGCCAAAAGAGGTGCAAAATTAAAAAGACAGTTAACATAACGAAGTGTTTTCTCGTTAGACACAGTCATATATTTTATTTAACATGGAAAATAAATAGATGAGAATTTGTACACTTGAGCAGCCACTGAACAAAAGGCAACAAATTTCCTGGTGCGAATTAAATCTATTCTATTCTTACAGAATGAGGTAAAGATACGTGTCCTTGTTATGAGCGTTAATATAGTTCATCAAATTGGTTTTTCTTCTTTTTCTACCTTTGGTTGTTTAAGTGAAATATAATTAAAGATATAGTATTATGGATGTAAGGAAATAAAGATAATGTATATGGAATCAAGAAAGAGGAATTGGAAACGAAAATGGCTATTTTCATTTATTTAGGACACGCATTCTTAGTAGTTTTATTTTTGGCCAATGACTTTTGATGAAAATTATAGTTTTCTGTGAAAAAATACTAGTGGATGATCACTAGGTCTGAGAATTATAAAGGTTTTATTTGTTTTTTAAGTTTCCCTAGGTTTTTGGGGGAACAGGCGATGTTTGGTTACATGAGTAAGTTCTTTAGTGGTGATTTGTAAGATTTTGGTGCACCCATCTGAGCAGTATACCCTGTACCCCATTTGTAGTCCTTTTGTCTTACTCCTCCTCTACTCTTTCCCCTAAGTCCCCAAACTCCATTGCATCGTTCTTGTGCCTTGCATCCTTCAGAGCTTAGCTCCCACTTTGAATGAAAACATGTTTGGTTTTCTGTTCCTGAGTTACTTCACCTAGAATAATGGCCTCCAGTTTCATCTAGGTTGCTGCGAATACCATTATTTCATTCCCTTTTATGGCTAAATTATATTCCATTATTTTTACTAAAAGCTAAAATATCCTTGCACTGTATTTAGGAATCATGACACAAATCTATCATGGTAATATTTAATAAGCTTTCATTTTCATCTTCTAGAGTATTTGTACTATAATTGTATTGCCATCTAAATATAAATCGTGTATATATATATGCACACATACACACATACACACATACATACATACATACATACATACATACATATCACAATTTCTGTATCCACTCATTGAACGATGGGCATTTGGGCTGATTTCATATTTTTTTTATGAGTTATAAAGGTTTTAAAGTGGAGTAATTCTTAGGGCTTCATGGATATTAATTGTATATTGATAAATAATGTGAAACCAGGATGGGTAAGTACTACCAAATAATCAAATTGTATAATTAAAAAAATACTGTCATATATAAGAAAGTTTTTATGTTATTACATATTTATCATAGTCAAATAGCAAATAAGTTAAAATTTATATTATGTTAAAAAAATTAGGGTTTTTACTAGAAACAGTTGTTTTTACTAAAAGCTAAAATGTCTTCCACTGTATTTAGGAATCATGACACATATCTATCAGGGTAATATTTAATAAACTTTCATTTTCATCCTTTCTGGAGTATGTATTTGTACTATAATAGCATTGCCATCTAAATATTAGTAGGATTTTAGAACATGATGTTATTACAAAAATACAGAGTGTGTGTGTGTGTGTGTGTGTGTGTGTGTGTGCATATGTAGAACTGGTACATTTATAGAACGTTTTTTACTTCATGAAGTTATTTACAAGGTCAGTAACTTGTTATATATTAGTAGGTTACTCTTTTTCTTTGTTTCACAAAGGAACTAGAGGCACTGAAGGATATTCAGCTACTAATAGTTTTCTTCACAAAGCTACACTTGGCAAGTTGGCAAAAATGAACTTTTACTTCAAAACCTTGGTTTCAATTATGGCTGAAATGGACAGGCATGGTACAAGCAGCTACCCGTTGGAATTTGTGCGATTTAAGACAGATTATTTTTCAGCAACTCCAGGAAAGCATTTTCTAAAAATCCACATCTGTTCTAAGTAGGTTGTCTATTATGTTTCTACGAGTATATAACTGTTACCTTTCAATTTTTAATAAGTGGTTAGAAAACCACTGTGAATAGCATGCTGAAGCAAAGGGCGACAAGAAAAGGAGCAAAGTGTAGGTCACATTTCTATTTTTATAAAACACTCTAATATTTTGCCCCTTTTGGCCTAGTTTGATATATTGGTAAAGCAAGTTAAGGCATAGTATTAGACGGTCTTAATGACTTAAAAATATTGTGATCTAAGAAGTGTAACAAGGCATCATCTGTGTTAAGAACTTGAAATCCATGACTATTTCTTCCTTACACTTCTATTTATTCTTTGGAAAATACGATGTAAATAGCACACAGTTCATTTGTAACCATAAAAAGTCTGTCTAAATTTAAAGTTATATATGTATAATGTGTATATATATATATCTACATATATATACAAACACCTACATATTATATATATCTACATATATATATATATATACACGCACACACACATACACACACATCTACATATAGTTTGAGTATAAATACTAATATTGTATCTTGGAAATTTCATGATTTGTCCTTATTTATGCAAATGAAAAAGTTGGGAAATATTTTGCTAATTATTACCTGAACTGATTTTCTGTTTCTGTTCATGTTTATTTCAGATAACAGAGGGGTCTCTATATTTCAATATGCAAAGTTTTACCACCGAAATATTTCTGTACATTTTGTAAGGTTTATTACCGAGTCAAAATGAGGAAACTGAGGCCAGTGTAAGAAAATGAAAAGCAAATTTATTCAGCTCCCAGTGGAAGTTTTAAGGTCTGGGAAAGGGCCAGAGAAGTCACGCTTGACTTCTCAGGGTGTGGGCTTTTATGGGGAGTGGAGGCAATTGATTGGTTATTGGGGAAACAAAGCATAGGCGATTTCATTGGATATAGGGAGACAGGGCGTGGATGGGGACGTGATTGGTTGTTGGGGAAACAAAGCATAGCAAGTCTTGGTGAGGTGTTTTTTGGCCTCCGGCTGGGGGTTGAGTGCTTAGTTTGGTGCTGAATGTAGATCTGGGTGCAAAAGCAGAGGTTAAGTGTGGAGAATTCACGTGGAGAAGCCAGATGCTAAGTAATGTGCTCAGAATAATAACGCAGTTATCAGGCACTAGCAGGGAGGGGGTGTGTCCGTTTTACTCCCGGCGAGGCAACCGGCCTTACACCTTTTAGGTGTCATTATGTATTTATCACCAATGTTAACACATTCTTTAACAATCTTGCTGCTTTCTAAATAATTTCTGTTTGCGATCCTCCCTGTACAGTATAATTTTTAACTAGCATTTCTTATAGAGAGAAGCCATCAATACCATGTAGTTTTCACTCTTAAAAAACTGATTTCAGTAGAATGGCTTTAAAAATCCCATTAGAAAAATTTTTCTACGTTTTTATTATATGGATTTGGTTCATTTACATAGAGACAGATATTTCACTAGTAACCCGGGGTTGCAGGATTGGAATGGCTTTGAACTTAAAAGTCTCCTTACCCCTTTTTGACACCTGCCATTCTTTCACAGGAGCTGACTAATGAAGGTTCTAAATACAACTGGAAAAAATAATTCTCTTCTTTTGGCCATGCAGAACAAATCTAATATTCAAACAATACTTCTTGAAATATCCGACTATATTTCTTATGTCTTTAAAACTGGAAAGTAGCTTCAAACGTTGAAAAACAAACGAGTGCTACTTAAAACAACTTGTAGCAAAATTATACTACATACAATTTTCAAAATTTGTGGTTGCATTGCTTACAATTATTACGTGATACTATGATTTAAATAACGATAGCTCTGCTTATAAAAAGTAAATAATACATAATCCATGATCAAATTCATTTTGGCAAGGTGGTTCACGGTGATAAGGCAAAATGGTTTTAATTAAAACTAGAACCGGATCCCAAACATTTGTAAAAAGTAAGGTGATTTTCAATCTTCGGATTTATTTTGGTGGGCTTCTCCTCATCATTACATATTCCAAATATTTTAGGATTCCAGAATTCAGCTGTCAAACCTTTTAACATA